TTCCAAGGACATTTAAGACATGCATGGCTTGTAAAGTTAAATGAAAGGCAAATCTCATGCTGTTAAACACATTGAGCAAATCTGTTTTGTTTTTGTTTTTGTTGTTTTTTTTTTTTTTTTTGGGTCCGGCAATGGGGCCTGAACTCTGGGACTGGGCGCTGTCCCTCAGCTCTTCACCTCAAGGCTAGCGCTCTACCACTTGAGCCACAGTGCCACTTCCGGCTTTTTTCTTTTTGCTTATGTGGTGCTGAGGAATTGAACCCAGGGCCTCATGCATACAAGGCAAGCGCTCTACCACTGAGCCAACTTCCCAGTCCCCGTTGTTTTTTTTTTTTAAAACAGTAGGTAGGTGTTGCAAAAGAAGACATGCCTTCACATCTTGTGTCCTCCCTAGCAAAACTGCAGGAAAGGTGATGTGATACTCTTTTCCTACTAAATACTAAAGCCTTCCTAGCTAATGGAATCTAATAATAGAACCACAGACCTCTACAATGGAAACTATAGAACAGGGAAGAAAGATACTATATAGGCCACTAAGATATGGATGATCATAGGTGAGCAGAATAAATACTGTCAAAATGGCTATATCACTGAAATGCAGTCACCATCAAAACTCCAATGACATTCTTTATAGAAGTGAAAAAATCATCCTAAAATTCATATGGAAATACAAAAGACTTTAGAGCTGAGCAAAAAGAACATGATGGATGCCAGTGGCTCATGCCTATAATTCTAGCTACTCTGGAGGCTGATATCTGAGGATCACGATTCAAAGACAGCCCAGGCAGGAAGGCTTGTTAAACTCTTATTTCCAGTTAACCAACCAAAACCCAGAAGTGGAGCAATGGCTCAATTGTTAGAGAGCTGTCCTTGAGCACAAAGCTCAGGGACAGTGCTTAGGCCCTGAGTTCAAGCCTTAGGATGAACACACACAAATATAATCACAAGTGTGTGTGCACGCGTGCGCACACACCCACACCTACACCCACAGAGAGAACAATGCTGGGAGGTGCCAATACCTTACTTCAAACTAAACTATAGAGCTACAGTAACAAAACCAGCATGGTTCTAGCCCTTAAAGAGACACTGGCAAATAGAATAGAAGACCCCAAAATATTCCCAAATACCTACAGCCATGTAATGCTTTTTATTTGTTTATTCATTTGGTTAGGGAGTCTGGTCTTTGAACTTGGTGGCAAATGCCACTTGAGCCACACCTCCAGCCCAATAGCACCTAATTCTTGACAAAGGTGCTCAAAACATATATTGGAAAAGAAGGTCTTTTCAACAAGTGGTACTGGGAAAACTAGATATCTATATGTAGAAAACTGAAACTAGGAAGCGGAGATGTGGCTTAAGTGATAGAGCAGCAGCCTTGAGCGAAAAAGCCAAGCAAGAGCATGAGGCTTTAAGGTCAAGCCCTTGTACCAATGCATGTGTGGACACACACACAAAAGACTGAAACTAGATCCCTATATCTCACCATGTACAAAAATAAATTTTGAAATCCTGAAACTTGGAAAGTACTAGAGGCAAACTAAGATTAAACTAGACACAGACAAATTTTCTGAAGAGGACTCCAGTAGCTTAGGAAGGAAGAGCAAGAACTGACTAATGGGATTGCATCAAAGAAAAAGAAACAATCAGCAGAGTGAAGAGCCCCACAGAATGAGAAAAAGTCTTTCCAGATAGCTATCTAACAAGTGACTAATATCTACAGTACCTAAAGAACTTAATTAAATAGCAAAAGAGCAAATAATTTAATCAACAAATGGGTAATGAAATCAGAAAGATACTTTTCAAATCAAGAGGTACAAATGGCCAATAAATACATGAATAACAGTCAACATCCTTAGCTATCAGGCTCCACTGAGAGTCCTCCCCTCCCCTGAGAATGGCTATCATCAAGAAAACCAGCAATACTGGCAAGGATATGTGTGTGGGGAGGTGTTGGGGAAGAACCCTTACTTGCTGCTGGTGATAATGTGAGTTAGTCCGGCCACTTAAAAAAAATTACATACAGAATTCTCATTTGATCCAGCTACACTGCTTCTGGGTATATACCCCAGCAAATCAAGTAAAAATCATACATACCTACATATTCAAGTTTGTTGTCACACTATTCACAATAGCCAAATTATGGAATCAGCCTAAGGTGCCCATCAGATAAATGAATAAAGCATCACACACACACACACAGGAGTTTTACTCAGCCATAAAAATGAAATTATGTCATTGGCAGGAAGATAGATGATGTGTTGGTTCTATTAAGTGACATAAGCCAGTGTCACAAGGATGAATGTTGCATGTTATCTAACCTGTGGACTCTGAAGGGAAGGGGGATGTGAAAGTAAAAGGGATACTTCTCTCGACCTGAAGGAGAAGGGGAAAGTCGAAGATGGCAGGGGTGTAAGAAAGTAGAGGGGTGAATATGATAAACGTCCGTTATATGCATAATATGGAGATGTCACAATGAAACCTTTGTCTAGTCAGTGTACTATAATAAAGAATAACAGCATATTATTATCTCCTTTGCTAAATACATTGTAAAAATCCTACATTTATACATTGTGAAAAGTTATCAAAATGAAGAAATAGTTATTCTGAGTGAAAGAATGGAAACAATAATGAGTCTTGTTAAAATCAGTATTTCTTTTTCCCCTCCCTCCATCCCTCCATCCCTCCCTCCCTCCCTCCCTCCCTCTCTTTCTTCCTTTCCTCCTTCCTTCTTTCCTTCTTTCCTTCCTTCCTTCCTTCCTTCTTTTCTTTCTCTTCCTTTTTTTCTTGCAGGTCTTAGGGCTTGATCTCTGGGCCTAGACACTGTCCCTGAGCAACTTTTCTTCAAGGTTAGTGTTCTAATACTTGAGTCACAGCCCCATTTCTAGCTTTTTCTTGTGATTAATTGGCAATGAGTTCTATGGACTTTACTGCTCAGGCTGGCTTCGAACCCCAATCCTCATATCTCAGTCTCCTGAGTAGCTAGGATTACAGGCATGACCCACCCCCACCCATGCCCAGCAAGAATCAGTATTATTACATTTATGGGGTAGTATATTTTACTAATAGATGTAGTGTGATAAAATATAGAGGAATAGCTCAGTACTTCTGGGCTGTTGAGGGTAAGATAATATCATGTTAGAAAATACAAGGTCTACAAAAATTCCTAGGTTATAGCCTTGAGCACTTAAGTTGTATTGTTTTCTTCAAATTCCCAAATATCCCAATATTGGGAATCCTGCTCCCTTTCCTCTTATACCTTTCATTCCCTCCTGACTTTTCCTTGTGGATCCTAGAACTTTATCCTTCTAGCTTAGTTCAGTATGGGGCTTTGCTGTAAGTAAGGAATGTGTCACTGTCTGGTACTATCAATGGAACGTTGACTTACCTGAATGAGAGTAATTTCATCATCAGTCATTAGGCTTGAACTGTAATATCAGATCTCTCCTGGGAACTGTAGTAATATCAGCTTGTGCTTGGGTCTTAACCTACCAGCCCAACCTAGAGAATTTGGAATTGCTAGTCATCATAATTGTGTGACCCAATTCCTTAAAATAGATCCCTTAAATTCTGTTCTCTTAGCATTTAAAAAAAAAAAAATTCACGGGGCTGGCAAGGTGGCTCAGTGGTAGAGTGCTTGCCTTGCATGCCTGAGGCCCTGGGTTCGATTCCTCAGCACCACATAAGCAAAAAGAAAAAAGCCGGAAGTGGCGCTGTGGCTCAAGTGGTAGAGCGCTAGCCTTGAGCTGAAGAGCTGAGGGACAGCGCCCAGGCCCAGAGTTCAGGCCCCACGACCAGACCCAAAAAAAAAAAAAAATTTCACTTACCTGTATTTTTCAGTTCTAGAATTCATTTTGTTCCTTTTTGTAAGTTCTCCATTATTACATTTATTCTGTTCTTACATCATTTGCTTGATGTCCTTAAGTACTTTCTGCATGTTTTCCATTAATTATTAGATTATTTAGTTATTAAGTATATATAATATAGTTCTTTAAAAGTCTTTGTCTACTTGGGTGCTGGTGGCTCATGCCTGTAATCCTAGCTACTCAGGAGGCTGAGATCTGATCATGGTTCAAAGCCAGCCCAGGCAGGAAAGTCCGTGAAACTTTTATCTCCAATAAACTACTCAGAAAAAACTGGAAGTGGTGCTGTGGCTCAAGTGGCAGAGTTGCTAGCCTTGAGTACAAAGAGGCTCAGGGACAGTGTTCAGGCCCTGCGTTCAAGCTCCAGGACTAACAAAAAAAAAAGTCTTTCTCTAGTATATCTATGACTCCTCAGAATGTTTTGTGTTAGTTTATTTTGTCTCTTTAGGCTATGTTTTGCTGTTTTCCTGTATGTGTTCTGAGTTTCTTGTTGGATATGTGAGGTCTTACAAACTTTTTGCCTGGACTGGCCTGGAACCACAATCTGGGATGACAGGCACATACCACCATGTGCAGCTATTGGTGGCAATAGAGTTTTGCAGACATTTTTTCCCCCTGCAAAAGTTTGTAATCTTTCCAATCCCCACCTCTCAAGTAGCTTGAATTACAGGCAGGAACGACCAGTGCCCAGCCTCCAACTTTTTATAAAGATTATCCCTTGTCATAGATGTTCATGATGTCTTGTTCTTTGTAGTCAGCTAAAAGAATATTTTGACAGATTTCAGATTTCTCCCAATCTTTGCAGATTGTCTCTGTGCTATGGCAGTCTTTCAAGACTTGGCTTCCACTGGGGCTAAAAGGTCAGCCTCACATGGAAGCTTAAGGTCTTGTAATGAATTTCTGATCATATGTCTTTTATCATTCCCTTGGCTCCACTCCTAATCTCTTGTCCCAGAGGGCTATGGTTCTCTAGTTTTCCTTGCAGATCTTATGGGCAGCAGGACCTTCTTTCCCATGTTAGTTCCAAGCTAAGTAAAGATGCTTGCCTTGTTGTATCATTCATTTAGCTACCCCTATGAAGGACAAAATAATTGTATACAATAATTTATAAATGTGTGTTCTGCTTCTTCCTATTTAAAGGCAGAAACTGAGATCAGATAGTGTCTCTTCAAGACCAAAATCACCAACCACCTTACTGGGGAGGACTGGGAGCAAGGGTGAGTGAAAAACTACGTAACCTTCACTTAGAATTTGAATATGAACATTTAAATTTTGATTGGGTGTTTGCTTGCCTCCTATCTGTGACTGTTTTCCAGACTGACAAAGTTCTTTCAAATAATTTCTGCTTGTTTTTGTTGTTGTTTGGTTTGTCGAGGGTTTTTTGTTTTTTTTTAAGGAACTGGAATTTGAACACAATACTTGTCAGGCAGATGCTCTAACACTTGTGACACATCTTCAACTGCAACTGCTCTCCCCTTCCTCCCCTCTTTTTAAAAAAAAATTTATTTTTGGTCAGTTATGGGGCTTGAACTCTGGGCCTGGGCGCTATCCGTCAGCTTTTCAGCTCAAGGCTAACACTCTACCACTTGAGCCACAATGCCACTTCCAATTTTCTGGTGGTTTATTGGAGATGAGTCTCATGGACTTTCTTGCCCGGGCTGGCTTTGAACTCAGATCTCAGCCTCCTGAGTGAGCTACTGGTACCTGGCTCCTTTTTTTTAAAAAAAAACAAAAAACAAAAAACTTTGTTTCTTTAAGGGAAGAGGTATCTGGAACTTTCTAGTCCAGATTTTCACTGTTGTTACTCAATTCCTCTACTATTACAATGCATTGAAAATCTCTGAACTCTTTTCATTAGTGCAGCTGCCTTCTTGCTTTGCTTCCCAAGCCACTACTCATTTGTTGTCTTTTACATCAGTCATAGTCATGTTATCATCCTCAGGTTCACATGAGGAGGGGGCTGGAGTCCCTAAGCAGCACCAACCTTTGCGGAAGAGGGAGAGGAACGTGTGAAAACACACTTAGTGAAATATGAAGAGAAACCTGGGCACTGGTGGCTCATGCCTATAATCCTAGCTACTCAGGAGGTTGAGATGTAAGGATCATGGTTCAAAGTTAGCCAATGCTAACTTTGAAAGAAAGTCCATGACATTCTGTATCTTCAGTTAACCATTTAAAAACTGAAAGTGCAGCTCAGGCTCAAAGTGGTAGACTACTAGTCTGGAGTGAAAAAGTTTAGGAACAGCGTCCGGAGTGAAAAAGTTTAGGAACAGCGTCCAGTCCCTGAATTCAATCCCTATGACCAACGGTAGGGGGGAGGTGGGGGGGGAGGGGAAGAGTCACAGTTCTGGCAACCCAACTGATTCATCTCCCTTGCACTGTAAACAAATGATTTTTTTACACAGCAATTTCTTATCTTTTTTTCCTTTTTTTCTTTTTCTTCTTTTTTTACCTTTACTTCCTCCCTTCTTGACTCCCTCCTCCCCCCCTCCCCCGCCCTTCTTTCATTTTGTTGCAGTCCTGGGGTTTGAACTCAGAGCCTGAGTTCAGGGCTAGTGCTCTGCCACTCGATCCACAGCTTCCCTTCTGGCCTTTTTGGTGTTTAATTGGAGATAATAATGTCACTGGCTTTCTTGCCCAGGCTTGGCTTCAAACTGTGATCCTTAGAGCTCAGCCTTAGACTAGCTAGTATTATAGGTGTGTGCCAATGGCAACTGGCTTTCTTCATATTTTTGACATAATAAAACAAATGACTGTCATAATAATAACTGAGTCATAATTTCTGAAATCCCCAAGTAAAACGCCTTCACAAAGGCTTCCATGTTTGTGAGTAAAGTCAACTGAGAAACAAAATAAATCTGGGTGTTATTAATTCCACCAGCTCCCTGAAGGTGGCAGCAGTATTCTATGCATTAGAACTGTCTACATGTCTTTTTTTTCCCCTTCAGATTTGGAGGAAAAATTTTCCAAGCAGAAAAGATAAAATGTTTTTCTGCATCCTTTCTCCATTGATTATGATCTTTAAAACAATCGTTTATCAGTGTGATTGGTGAAAACTTTCATCTCAGCATTGTGTTAATTTGTATTTCTGTCATAAACAGAGAGGCTAAACCAATTTCTGCATGCCTCAAAGCTTTTCTTCTTTCCTGAATTATTTTTATATCCTTTACCTTTATGTTGAGATTTAATTTTGTGGCCTTTCCTTTTTTCTCATTATAAAAATAATACGTCTGCACCGTAGAGACTCAACTGAACTTAAAGAAAATTTAAAGGGCCCACATGCATACTAACAAGAGACAGCAGCCTTGATGTTTTAGATACATTTTTACATTTTATGTTTTCCCCACTTTTGTTGTTCTTTACCTATTTCATGTTGTACATAATTTCAGTCTCCATCTTGTTTTGTTCATATAATTATATGGTGATATTTCCCATGCTATTATTAATGATTTTTAAGATGTCTTTAGTTTAATACTTTTATTTATTTTTCTTTCTTTTGTCCAAACCAGGACTCCAACTTGGTATTTGATGCTTATCACTCATTGGCAGGTGGCCTGCCACCCGAGCCATGCCTCCAACCCTGAGTTTATGATTGTAAAAGCTATTCATTAGTACTGTTCACAAACCTTGGCAAACCTAAGATAATCTAATTAGTTAAACAGTTCGTTCCTGGGTGCCGGTGGCTCATTCCTATAATCCTAATTACTCAGGAGGCTGAGATTTGAGGATTATGTTTTAAAGCCAGCCTGGACCAGAAAATCCATGAAACTTTTATCTCTAACTAAAAAGCTGCAGGTGGAGCTGTTGATCAAGTGGTAGAGTGCTAGCCTTGAGTGAAAAAGCTAGCTAAGGAGAATAGTACCTTGGCTCTAAGTTCAAACCCCAGTACTGGCAGACACACAAAGAAAAGAATGTAATCCTGCAGTTCAGAGAGGACTATTCTTAAGCTTTTGGTGGATTGTTTCGGCCCTTTTCTATGTAAGAATTATATGTTTTTATATCATTAATGTGATACAATGCAGTTTTACATATACTATTATTTAATTTTACATGTGCCACTAAAACCATTTTAAAAGATTATGTTTGTTATTAGCTGTAAGTTAATTTATTCTTTAATTTCTTTAACAATCCATTGTTATGATTATTAAAAATTTTCCTACCATTTCATTATTCAACACTGTGTCACAGTGGAATGTTGAGTACAAAAGTCTTTTAAGTTTCTGATTCTTACCTTATTAAAAAATCCCTGATGTGAAATTACTGAGTAAAATATTACAGCCATTTTATAAAATGCCATAACAGTAAGAATTACATAAATGGATCTGCTGTTGTTAACTAGACAAATCACACTTGAGTAGTAATTTCAATCTCACTATTTATAATTTTAAAAAAAAACAACCCTATTTTCTGACTGGGGGAGTGTGATGGAAGGGGTGGCATTGTCCAAAAAGAAATGTACTCCTTAGCTGACTTATGTAATTATAACCCCTTTGCACATCACCTTTATTATAACAATTAATAAACTTAAAAAAGAAAATTGTATTTTCTTTTATCTTCTTTTTGGGTCCTGGGGATTGAGCCCAGGATGTTACACTTGCTAGGCAAATGTTTTACCACAACTTTTTAAATTAATAACCCTAAGTTCAAGTAGCTAGTATTATAGGTGTGTGCTAATAGCACCTGGCTCTCTTCATATTTTTCACGTAAAAAATCTAGTGACCATCACCTGCGTCATAACTCTTGAAATCCCCCTAGTAAAATGCCTTCACAAAGCCTTTCATGTTTGTGAGTCAGGCTTGAACTCATGGCCTAGGCACTGCCCCTGAGCTTCTTTGCTCAAGGCTAGTACTCTTCCACTTGAGCCACAACTCCATTTCTGACTTTTTGATGGTTAATTGGAGATCAGAGTCTCACAGACTTTCCTACTCATGCTGGCTTCAAACTATGATCCTCAGATCTCAGCCTCCTGAGTAGCTAGGCTTATAGGCATGAGCCATCGGCACCTGGCTTTAATAACTACTTTAAGCTCAATAGGAACTTAATTCCCTCCTTTGTGAATTATTTCATGTACTTTTCCTGTTTATTATGTCTAATTGTTCTTTAAAATCTTTTTTCCCCCCACATTATTTTATGTATATTAAGATTTAATTAGAGATGTGTTTTGTTCTAGATTGTTTTAGATTCAATTTGCTTCTGTTAGTTTTGTTTTCTCATTTGGCTGATTATAAATGTATTAACCATTATTGTTAAAATACCAAACATATTTTAATATTTATTTAAAGAAGATAATGAAAAACCAAGTGTATTCTTTCTGTGTTTCAGAAATAGAAAAAAAATACTGGAACTAAATCCTAGTTTAGTTCTGGCAGGTAGGAGTTAAGTATAGGAAGTTGAGACCATATCTTTTGGAATGTGGTAAGCTAAGTCTTCCCATGATCAATATGCTTCAAATAAAGACCCAAGGCTATATGTGTTATCCTCCCCACTGAATTTTGCCCCTAATGTTGTAGAGATGAGAGTAATCAAATTAGCTATAACTATAACTGATGTTGGTGGTAAAAATAGTAAACATTTACCCAATTTTACTGTTAGGCACTGAAATCAGGATTCATTCCACCTTCACAATTCTGTGAAATACATATTATTATTCTCTTCATCTTATAGATGGGGAAACTGAGGCATAGCTGGAACATCAAAGAAATCCCAGGGACTGAACTATTCAGCTACAAATCTGAAAACAGGCCAAACCTAATGTTCATCGCACTTTAGTGATTATTTTTTATCTAGACAGATGCTGCTTGGTGATAGAGGTAGAACAGTACATAGAGAGCTGAGGCATCTGGTGAGGAAAGATAAATATTGGTGAAAATGTGGTGTGGGAGGTGAAAATGATTAGAATATGCAGTATGAGATTGTGAGACAAAACTTTATCCTTATTGTTCAGATCATTGTTTCTGAATGAAAGTAGTTACTAGTTAAAGTATAAAATGAGAAATAATTACAGTTTAACAATTAAAAGTAAATTAGCTTGAGTGCCAGTTATAGAGGTTGAATCTCAGAGCCTGGGTACTGGCCCAAAGCCAGAAGTGGAGCTTTTGCTCAAGTGGTGGAGCTTTGAAGCAAAGATGCTCAAGGATAGTGCACAGGCCCTGAGTTCAAGTTCCAGAACTGGCACAGAAACAAAGCCAAAAACAAAAGAACCCCAAAGCAAGCAAAC